TAAGCACGTCCGGTTTATAACCCCGTTTGTAATAAGACCTACAAATCTCTGATGGCACACTGATACAACTACTGGGTCCAACTGAGTAAGTTCCACCTGAAGACGGACACAGAATCCAGTCTCCGAAACATGTGTTTTAAAAAATCAGGCCCGTTCATAAAGCTTACTGCTCATAGTCCGGGAACACTTCAGTGTATATTCTGTTTAACAGCATCTCTCAAGTGTGGTTTTATTTATTTCGTTCTATGGTGTTATTAATAAAGATCTCATCATCTCAGAATATATAGCGCGGGATGATTAATTAATCGTGATGTGAAAAGAATGTGGCAGTATGCGGTTGAGGCACTGTACCAGCATTTGCCTGAAGGGACTAAGACATAAATCATCTCAGTTTGGATATCTCGTCACTGGGATGAGATATGAACACGATACCTCCCGGATATGAAATTGGAGTGCTACCCATTTGACAGTAACGTTCGCTTCAAGCGTGGTGTCGTCGTTCGAAACACATACGAAAATTATATTTCTTAAAATTGTTTGTTTCAGTCGGGCGTGTCCAAAAATTGGCTAGGACGAGAAAGTTAAGGATCCTTAAAAGACCCGGCCGCACAAATGTATGGGTCCATTTCCAAAGTAATATTTGAATATAAATTAAATAAATGCACAGAGATAATTCTGTACAGCAGACTACCTGAAATTTCTACAAAGTATACCGAGTTTTCGTTGTATATATTTAACATCGGTCCCACTAACAGCAGTTCCTTCTGCTATCACCTGATTATGTTAATGAGTACTATCGTCTGGGTGTGAGGGCTTGAAGTCTGGAAGAATACTATAAAATTATTGGTGACACGTCCTACCTCGATCTGCAGGGTCGATATATTACTTTCCTATCGATACTACGGACATTCATAAATAGTACTCTTCGCCGAGTATAGTTAGAATGATCAAGTGAAGCACGATGAGATAGGCAGGGCACGTAGCTAGCGTTGGGAGAAGAGGATGCATACAGGATTTTGGTGGGATAGCTACAAGGGAAAAGATCATAAAGAACATCAAGACGTAAGTGGAATTATAACACTAAATTGGTCTTAGATATTATGGAGTGGTATGATTGGATTGATCTGGGTCAGAATAGGAACCAGCAAAACAGTGAAAGTAAAGTAAGTAAAGCTATCCCTGTAACAGGCCGTGAAGGCCTATAGGATTGTGAGATGTTGAGGCTCCCACATTTTCTAGACAATCGGCTCACAGATGGCGGTAATGTTCTCAGCCTTACGCGTCGGCCGTCCTTTACTCCCAGGAAGATTCCTGGTACTCATTTCTGTTAGAGGCTGAGTCGACCACAGTGCAGCTTGAAGGATTAAGTCAATTGAAGAAGTCCACCTCGTCGGGATTCGATCCCGCGACCTTCCAGCTTGTAGCATAGTGCCTCAACCAACTACGTTACAGCGTACCCCCAAATAGGGACGAGTGGAGGACTCTTATGAACACGATAATGAACCTTCGGGTTTCTTAAAATGTTGGGACAATTTTGAGTGGCTGAGCTACTGGCGGTCTCACAAAAAGGGCGTCAGTTAGTTACCTGTCGATCCTAAATATTGAGAAAGAAAGTTCCTCCGAAACATCAGGAGGCTTCTGCCTTCTCTTTAAATCAGATCACTCTAACAATTAATTACGCTGATGCTTATCTGCGCAGTATCACGCAGGATGTTTATTGATTTGTCAATAGTGTTGTGACTTACTGTCTCTCTTGCTTGATCACATGAATGTTTATATTGTGATTCAGACAATACAACTGCATGTAGAAAACAATGAAGAATAGACCAGTTTGCTCTTACATTTTCACTATATTCAACTACATTTATGGAGAACAAGCATTTCGAATCAATAAAGCTTCGTCATTATTACTTCGCAGCATTGAACGTTTCATAATATCCCATGCGACAGTGCAGTTTCATTCTATTCCACATAAAACTTGACACTATAAGTATCCACGTTATGTTGGGCAAAACTCTAAAATCTTAATTTGTGTCCTTCAGAAGATCATATGTATTCTGCTGAAACAGCTTCACCAATCTATATTAATTCTAATGACCGCCTCTATGGTCTAGTGACCAGAGTTCATGGCTACAGATCCAGAGGTCCCAGGTTCGATTCTCGGGCCTACCAGATTTTCTCAGAAGTAGTGGGTCAGGAACGGGGTCCACTCAGCCTCTTGAGTATAATTGAGGAGCTATTTCAAGGAAATAGCGGCTCCGGTCTAGAAAACGGATATTAACCACCGTGGGGATCCGTTGCCCTAACCACGTGACACCCTCTATCCGCAAAAAGCTGGCACTACTTCGCCGTCAAGCGGCGGTCGCTCGGTCGGTATAGTTCGCTTGCGGACTACAGGCCATGGAGTTTAGTTTCTTAGTTAATATTAATTATAATTCCTGTAGTTTTGGAGTTTCATGCGACTGAACGCAGATATCCAGAGTAGCAACAGGCATGGAAGTGTCCGAAGCTCGCCAACATTAGCTGAACTCTCCACAATCGACCTGTCTCTCCCCCTGGCATCAGGAAACTTAACACAGAGACTAGGGGGTAAGAGCGGCCCGGGTTCGATCCCGGGTCTGGTCAAGTGGGATTTGTGGTGGACAAAGTGGCGCTGGGGCAGATTTTCTCCGAGTACTTCGGTTTCCCCTGCCAATCTTCATTCCACCAATTGCTCCACAATAACCCTCACCTACCATCTGGGGCTGGTAAAACAGGCCAGAAGTGGCCGTAGTACAAGGGAGTTAGTCCCACCCCACTAACAATAAAAGAAAGCGGAAAGTCATTGTGATTTTCTTAATTTCATCATCCGAAGGAGGTGAGCGGGTCGGTTTCAGACTCCGGGCGCTTTATCCCTGGGTAGAAACTTCCCCCACTGGGGACCTCAGAACCAGACTGCAAAATATTAAAATTTCCGTTATACTGCCTTCGTATTTGAGTTTCGTACAGAGAACACGAACCGATAAATTGTGTCAGATCTGGGTAAATTTCTTTTGTCTGCTTTTCATTGATCGCATTCATTTAATGGTTCCAAGAATTCTTCGTCAGTGAACAGAAATTGTGGCACAAACTTATCGTACTCCGTATAAATATGTTCAATATTTTGTATTTCATGGAAGAGAAATTCTTGCTTAAGCGGTCTCTTTGTAAATAAGAAAATTGTGTTCAAAGCATTTTATTTTTAATGGAACATATATTCTCGTTATGAAAAATTCTTTAGAAAGTGAAGTTGACAAAGTGCTTAAGCACCAAGTTATGAATAGTATTCTGGACTAGATGTCACGTTTGACACTTACTTAACTGTTACCTTGATAGGGTTATGGTCAGCTTCACGCTCAGGTTACTTTATCCCTCCACAGTAAAGAGGGTTAGTCTGGACGTGGTGGTGAAAAGAGGAACCTTCCCTCCATTGTGGTAATAGAACCCCGAACGTCCAGACCAGAGGCAATTATAACAATTATTGCATGCAACAGAGGGAAATTTAGTGTCGTAGTTTCTGTGTTTCGCAAATTCCATAAGAGGACATAGAGATATTGGGTTTTCGGACTTTATTCATCGTCGTTTTAAGATAACTAAGAAAAACACGACGTTTCGGAGACTGGATCAGTGATTGAGGCTAGCTCTTTCTAAGGGACTCAACAGAATAGGTGTTTTTCCCTCACCTGAGGACGTAAACAGATCCAGTCTCCGAAACGTCGTGTTCTTCTTAGTTATCTTAAAACCAGGACAATGGATAAAGTCCGAAAACCCAATATCTCTATGTGTTATACACCATCGTCAGAATCCTATAGTAACTATCCATAAGAGGACTTTCGTGAATGCAAGAATGAGCCTTCACTGATTCCATAAAAAAGGGAGAATTTCTCTTAGTAACTTCTGGATGTTTCTGCTCTATCAGACAGTCAATTAATTGGTTGCTTGCTTTTCTTTTCTTCGACGCTACAGCTCCAATTTTGGCCTAGGCCTATCTCCATGAACTTCTCCGTTCACTTCGGTTTTTCTAGACCTTACACATTCGGTAGGAGTCCTTGGGCGGGTGATCAGCTCGTCGCAAGGCCTCTACCTGTACACAAACACAGAAAAACGCACACAAACATCCATGCCCTGAGTGGGATTCGTACCCACAATCCCGGCTTCCGAGGGAGCGAAGACAGTGCATGCCTTAGACCGCTCGGCTACCGTGACCGGCGGTTACTTGCTTACAGGCATGAAAATATGAATAAACTTTTGAATAATATGAACACTTCGAAATCTTATGCCACAGACATACTGTTTAAACTATAAGGGTAATATATCACTCCTTTATTTTGATCATTCGAACAGGTATACAATTTCTTACACCTCAGTAAGTTCACCATGTAAATGTACTAGCGGAGGAATACTACAATTAACTATTGCGTTGTTGCTTAATTCCACTGCAATTTATTACTCCCCTTAATGTCAGGCATAATGCAATGCCTTTGTAAGGGCTACAGATGTTCGAAATAATATAACGGGGGCAAAATTAATGGCGTTAGGTTTCGTAGGGAAAGGGAAACATATTTCTTCCTACCGAAAAATTGTTGCATTCATCTTTAAAAAGGGACAGACCGAGCATCAGAATTTCAGTCCCAGTTCTACAATTCACTACAATTTCGTAATAATATATTCCACGGAATTTAACCGAGGAATTGCGAAAATATGTGCCATCTGCCAAAAAATGCTAAATTATTTCCGAAATTTCCAGGCCTATACATTAGTACAGGGTCTTCAATTTATGACGCTGAGAAAGTTTTAAGTATATCGAGTTCACCAAGCCTGATTTTGGGTAACTTATTGTGAGATTACGGTAATACGGCAGCCTCATATAATGAAATTCCTATCTCCATATCTATAAATAAGTTTTGTATTACTGTATTGCTTATTGTTAAGAGCATAGCCATTTAATAGAAAATAAACAAAATTAATTTGAACTAACTCACCAGATTAAGCAGGTAGACATTAGTGACTGTCCTCATCCTTTTGTTCTGTGCCAGGGTGATGAGGACCAATGAATTTCCAACGATGGCGAGCACAAATATAACCACGTACAGCGGTATAATGAGATCACTTTCAAATACACTACCACCACTCCCGGCACTTGTATTACCGACATTATTTACAACACTAACACTCTCACTTGCAACTGTAAACGTGGTGTAAGAGGATGTTGTGAAGAAATCATCCCATAGAACGGTCGAATTACTGTAATTCATGTTCGCTTCATTATCCATAATTTTTACGCTGTTATCAACCATCATTTCAATTTTAAATTAGTGGAATATTCAGATCCACACACATAGCTTGTTTCGTTTTATGTTACATACCAGAAGGGCCCAGAGTGCTCTGAAATTATAACTCACAAATTGATAATACTGTAACATCTGTCAACTGCTGTCGGAAATAATTATATTTATATCTGGAAGCAGCTAATATAGGTAATGTGTCCCTTTCTTAGCTTCTTTCTGAACAATCTAGTAAGATGATTTTCAGAAATCATAAAAACATCTAATTATACCTTTATAGTGTGTATAGTTGATCTGAAGAATCATGAATATACTCAAGCATGTAAGTTCATATACCCACAGAACACTAAAAACACGCAAAAATACGTTTTGAAACTACTGTTCTCCAACAATAGATATTCACTAGATATAGTGTTTATAAGCCGGTAAAAATATTACCTTTTAACATTTTACTCAACATACAACATTCTTAGGGAACAATTTCCCCCTTTCACTTTTCACATATGTCCGTAACATTTTAAATCCTCTCCTTGCGCACGTCTACTCAGCTAGTCTGCCAGTACGACTATAAGTACACAAATGATAAAATAGGTACACGATATTTCACAGATTGGCAAGCTGTGACCCATGGTATAACCACTATGAAGTGTACTGTCAATATGAATTCGCGTGATTAACTTAAAACATCGATTTTTCGTAGTGTAAATATGAAGTATGTTTAAAAACAGACGGTGATGCAAAACCTTAATGAAATGGAATCTGAAAAATTTTATATAAAACAGTTGAACAATATTTTTAGCTTGAAACACGATATTTTCGATTTCTGCCTGGGATCCCCATTATCATCTCAAAAGACGAAATTGTAATTCTGGTCAACCATTAGACCAATGTAACGAAACTGTCATCAGTAATTTTACCTTGTTGCATTCCAGCGTCAAAACGGCAGAATCAACCTCAATCGAAACTGAAATTCATTCGTGGGATAAACTGAAATGCATTTTCAAGGTTAAAATCCTTTATAACTGTGAACGAACCGCTGCACAACAAATACACTAGTGCTATTTGCTAACGTTAATTTCCTAATCAAGTTAATGTTTGAACGGATTTATATAACTGTTTACAAAGAAACAAACAATTGAAACTTTTCATTAAACTGCTCATTCACGTACTCGCTAACGGGCCGGCAGTCTGCGCATGACTGCTACATCACGCGAGAGCACCTGCTGCCAGCTAGTACGAACACTGTCTCCTCGCCTGCTACCCGTTCGAGCTTCGAACGAAGACTGGCTCATGCTCCTGGAGGCCAGAGCGAACAACACTCCAACCCACCCGCCTGTCTCTTCCGTCGGGACGCAGAAAAGAGGAGCGGGAATATGAGGGACTCTACATTTCTTGTTTATAAAAAGTAACTTGCAGAAATACGACTTTGAAACCAAGAGACGTAGGGGTTAAAGTGTGCAACAAAGGCACCTGGAACCTGCGGGTTCCCAGTAAATTATATAACATTCTACCAAACTACGAGTACTTACGTTATGTACGAATGTTTGAATAATATTCGCTATAAATACAGCTAGTCGGAATGCTGTTGTGACTTTTTCTGCGACTTGGCTTTGATATCGGTCTGGTGAGACTGAGGTTCACTTCATTTAACAACAATTTACAGAGTTGAAATTTGCAAACGCAGGACTTCCAATTTCTACACCACAGCTTTCTGTGAACAGGAGTGAGGAGGCAGTGATTTCTTATTTTGTGGAATAGTTTCGCCACTTCACTGGAAAGGCTGAGAACAACACACGTCATAAACATCATCGTAATAATAAAATTAAGTTGTTCCTGTACTTAACTAAGCACTACGCCATGAAGACGTATAGGGGTAGTGTATGTCTTGACCTCGGCACTAGTTGGGAGTGGTCAGCCTCACGCCTTGGCCGCTTTATCCCCTGGGAAAAGAGCCCCCGGTACCCATTGGATAGGATGTTGGGTGGACCACAGAACCGGTCTGCACGCTGTGGAGAAGAAAAAAATCTTGATCCTACCTGGACTCGAACTGCGATCACTCGGTTGCCCAGCCTGTAGTCAGTCGCTCTACCGACCACGCTATCCCTGCTCCTCCATTATTCTCTTACATGTAGAAAATCATGATTAGATATGGGCCAGCAATTTGACAGCTACCGGGTAATTTGGCTTAAGCTGTAACGTTTCTGATTTATGTTCTGGAGATGCGAGGTTCAAATCTCGGCTGGGATACCGACTATCCGGCCCGAGTCTTTTATGGCTTTTCTCAGTCACTGCCGGCATATGCGGCAATGGTACCTTCCAGCCCCCTTTCAATTCACTATTCAGGCTCATTGAACAATTTGACGCTTTCGAGTATGTAATGTTCATAACTTGTAGTTGGGATGTAACCGGTTTGAATCTCGGCGAGAATATCACTTATACTGACAGGAATATTTTTGTAAGATTTGAGGCTTTCACGGCGGTGACTATGAAGAAAGCAGTCTTCTGGGATTTGGCACCGTGTATATGTGNCTTTATTTTCCTAGCGTCTTCAGCAGAATTTCGAGGCGGTATATTCAAATGGTTCACTATCTCTTGCTACAACATATTTATCGAATCGTCATTCTTTTTTTACTACCAAATTTCATCCAATGATATATATATAATACGGATTTGAAAATCGTCGTTAAATAACTATATATCAGTGACACAAATCTGTTTCACGTTGAAGGCTACGACTTATCTATTGCGCTCTGTCTTGGGAAAATATTGGGCTCGAATATCGATATGATGATCGATTATATGTTTATCTACTGTCGAGGCATCTGAAAGTCTGGTAACATGCCTTTTGCAGAAGGAGTTACGTTACTTCAGCGATCTCCCAGCCTCCATTCGGTAACATGTCATTACCTGCCTCCAAGAAAACGATTACACCAACAAAGTCGTGACGGCACACTGTGCGAGGGGAGGGGGCGATTCTTATGATTTGATGATACACGAAGACTGTGCAATTTTAGTGCCTTTGATGCATACGAGCACAAGACTTGAGACCACTGAGATGCTGGTTTCAATCAGTGTTTCCACGTACAAGCTCCTCAAGTATATTCCCTAGTGTATTCAACTCCACACAGTCACAGAAGAAATGCTGTGCTTTCCAACAAACTGCGTATCTGGTTCCTTCAACCAGTAATGTGACCATGTGCGGACTGTCCGACAAGACTTCGATTCCTGGAACGGAAAGGATATGCTTCATCTGTTATTTCACTAGGTTCCAAACAGATTCGGGAGTAAAATCAGCCTTGTATCCACTTGGTAGTTAGAACTATTGTCCCGACGGTATAGGAGTCTGGAGACAAAGCCACAAAAGCACCACTGACTGCTACCGAAATTATAATTACAGAGAGTTTCATCTCCAATCCATATAGTCTTGTGGTATATATCTTAGGAACCGGATAACTTTAGACAGACTTGGAAGGATTCTGACGATGGTGTATACTGTACTTCTTGTGGCTTATTTTGGACTTCATCCATCGTCTGGTATGTAAAAGACAAAAGATCACTGGATGTCCAGTGATTGAGACTAGCTCTTTCAAACGGGCCCAACTGAGTAGGTTTATCCTTCCCTACCCACCTGAAGACGGAGACAGATCCAGTCTCCGAAACGTCGTTATCTTTTGTCTTTTACATACCAGACGATGGATGAAGTCCAATAAGCCAAAAGAATTACAGATAACTTTACTTTCACAATAGTAAGAATTTAAACGTGAACGGAGAAGTTCATGGAGGTAGGCCTAGGCCCACTGGGGCTGTAGTGCCAAGGAAAACAAATAATTTAAACACGTAATCATATAGAGCATACAGTCTTTCCTATTATGTTCTTTGCTACTTTGCGTGTATATTGGCATTGTTGTTAATTCAAGTGTTATATATTTATATTGTGACATGTTGACCCCTAACTCCCCAGCTGCCCGTAGCTGTAACGTAGCGCTCGTGTAATAGGCGAGTAATCACCCCGCATCCTGGTAGCTATGCAACGCGCAACGCGCGGTGACGTCACGAGCGGAGCCGAAGTGAGCCGAGCGGAGCCGACGTTAGCCGAGTCCCCGCAACCTTGAAGCTATGCAAAGCGAATCAACGCGCGGTGACGTCACCGAGGGATATCGCGGTTGCTAGGCAGCAGTCAACAACTCCGGACAGCGTGGCTAGCAACAAGGCACCAGACGACAATTGTCCGATCAAGGCTACATAAGGAGCAGCGAAGGCTATTCACAGTCAGTCAGCCAGTCAGTGCGTTATCAACGAGTTCTCCGTTCGCAAGTTACGAGCTACAGACGCGTGTGCAATAACCAGTGATAACCAGTTATATTTGAAAGTGTGTAATTCAGGGAGACTTGTATAGCTCCCGCGTTATTAATACGTGAAGACAGGTGAAGATCGTGTTAAGAGATTTTGTTGTAGGGTTTGTAAAGTGTGAAACCCCGCAACTGTGTAATAATTAATTGTAGCCGTTATTTGTAGATTGTTAAATAAACCAATTAACCATCTCTACGGCGTCTTCTGTAACGAAACACTTTACAATATATACGAATGTATTGTTGTCTTTAATTTTCCATTGATGCAAGGTTTGTTTATTCGTGGTCTATTCAACGACGCTGTCAGTACGCCATATCATAGAACGTCGAATGATAGGATGGCTAATGAATTGGGAAGAATTGGGAAGGAAAGAGTCAAGAACTAACATAAATAATCTTTCGTTGTTTTTTGTCAGAAACCTTTAAGAAAAACTACTAAAATCTTCAGATAGAATAGTTTACTTCCCGGCCGGGATTTGAATCCGGTACTTCTCGAATACATGTCAGAAGCGTTACCGGCAAAAACAAGTTAAACCGTTTGTAGACGTGACGCCGTAAATTCAGAAAAAAAAATCTTGCATTTTTTAACGTATTCACTCTATCCAGAATAGTCTCACATAAAAGTTGTTGCGAACTCCCAACACCAAAATTTCACCGAATGCCCTTGTACAGTTCCGAAATTACGCTAAAGGACAGTAGACATGAGCCCCTAATCATAGATTCAAAATATGTTATTCGCCTGAACTAAATTCGACTGATTTTAATGCAGACATTTGTGTTTACGTTGCTTTCAAAAAGTGCCAAATAAATTATTAATGCTGGTTAATTAACGTAAATATTCCGATAATTATGATGTGACGTGTTTGTGTTACTGATGTGGTCTGTAATTTGCTAATAATACGTCATAAGACTTGTCAAACTAGCTTTTCAAGGTCCCACTGTTCCATTTTCCTTTTTTTGATACTAGAAGGCCGACATAAAACTTCGCAAAAAGCAGCCGACGCGCTCAATTAGCAAGGAATTTTATTCAAGTCACACCCTCTCAAACATATTTTCCTGTAACCCATCTGATTTCCTTCTACTGCTCGCTTTCCAGCTTGTTTCACCGCTGCAATTACGTCCGTATGTCCTCTTCTTCCAGTCTATTCCACGTGTGCATTTTGTGTTCAGTTTTATTAGCAAAAACGCCGTTAAAATTCAAACGGAAATCTAAATGATCTCAACGGAAGTACTTCTCGATTCATACCGTTTGACAGATAGGCACGTAGAGAATACATTTAAGCACATGATGGTCATTATTACAAAAACAAAACAGAAATATAATTTCCTTACGTTTATAAACAAGACTCATAAAAAGCCAAAATTTCATTACATTCCGTTCTCCGGTGGCTTCAGAAAATCGAATCCTTTTAATATATGGTCACGTAATTGGGGTGTGCGTGATTTATAGACGGGGTTTGGACTGATGACCGGATTTATTTCATAAAGCACTATCATGACGCACTCTCTTTTCCCTTCTCCATTATCTTCGCCTGCCGCCTCCAGAGACTCCCTCAGTTATTATTTCAGCTGCCTGAGATCTTTGTTATATAGCCTCGGGGTGGCCCCGACAGAAAACACCGTTTCCTAACAATTCCTCAATTGTTAGAGAGATGAGTCTACCTCGTTGTTACACAGAAACCAAAATAGTTTACTTTTGGGAGGGGGGAAGTAAAGTGGGGAAACTAATATCGCTGTTTCATTCCACTCTCCCTGACTCACGTCTCGGAAATAAAACTTTTGTTGCATATTTATGTACTCAGTAGGCCTCTCCATTCTACCGGTGGGAAGTTCGTCAACACACGACGCGAACAACGGTACTGATCCTTGCATTTCCTCTACCGATTGTGTGTTTAGTATTACGTAGTATTACTCAGTTAC